AGAGAGAGAGAGAGAGAGAGAGAGAGAGAGAGAGAGAGAGAGAGAGAGAGAGAGAGAGAGAGAGAGAAAGAGTGAGAGAGAGAAAGACGGAGAGAGAGTGAGAAAGAGAGAAAGATGGAGAGATGCCCTTAATAAAAAACCTACGAACCGAAATCGAGAGAGCGAGCGAGAGAGGGTGTACTGTGCTGTGAAAGCAAGCAAACATAGCGCAAATACTAGATACCAACTAGATCGCACGCACACGCACGCGCATGCACGCGCACGCACACGCATGCACACGCACGCACGCGTGCTGCCGTGTATAGCGAAATCACAATCACTCCATCTATACAGTAATGCTCGAAGTATTCGCCGCGAGGGGGCAGCTCTGGCGTGTTTACGCTCGTCGTCATGGTTACTATGGCTCATAGGGTCTATGCTCCCCAGGGTACTGCCAGAACGTAACCTGGGTACGGTCCGGTATACCGGAACGTACCCTAGTACTATCTAATATGCCGGATCGTACCTCGTCTACTCCATTAACGAGTCTAGGGAGTCGCCTACGCCTACTCCCTAACCCTAACCCTTACCATATCAGATAGTTACCAGGGTACGTTCCGGTATACCAGACCGTACCCAGGGTACGTTCTGGCAGTACCCTGGGGGACATATAGACCCTATGAGCGTTACTATGTGAAAAAAAAACCTCCTCTAGCCGACATCGTGGAAGCTAGCATACATTGTCCACTCGCTGCGATGCAATCATTCGGCGCGGGTACGAAGTGACCAATTGCGTGCGACTGGACGCAATGACCACTTTACATATAAGCTACACTGCTGATCAAGCCACTGCTACGCGGGTTACAACATAGGAAACGCCTGACGTATGTGGCTTACACACTACCGTTAACACCACGCGCAAGTGCGATGCACAACACGCTCTCTGCTCGCAGGGATGGTGGGGACCCCACCCGCTTTAACACGCCCCAGCTTCCGTCACCATGGTTACCGATGCTGGCCGAACGCGTCGTTCGAATCCATTCGAAGGTACTGAGCGCCGAGCCATTCCTTGTTGTTGACCGTTGGCTGGACATTGACGGATGCTGAAGCTGCTGCTGGAAGTCAACTATCGGTCATTGCGTGGCCTGGTGACCGCCTGCCGACCCGCTCGTCCGACTGTCACATGCACACACACACACTTATCACTGTCACGACCCGACGATGCTCGTAGATTCGTTTTGCCGCCGCTAGATGGCACCAAGTGTCCTTCGCTTCCGGCACGTACAGCACTGGGTGGAACACGACCGAAGGTGAGCGAGACTGTAGGCAGCGTGCGCGTGGACAACGCCATTGCCGTAAGTGGGTGTGCACATCCTCATCACACAAATAGCGGGCTAGCTGCCTGCCGCCACACACTACGGCGGCTGTGCGTAACGCTACGTAACATCGTACTGGGAAGGGTTCGTGAGTGGAAGAATGAAAATCACTGATGTCACATTATACGCAACCAGCTGCTGCTGCTGCGGCAAGCAAGCATGCAGACAGACTCTCTCTCTCTCTCTCATTTTTTCTCTGTCTCTCTCCCCGCGCTCGTTCGCTCTCTTCTCCCTATTCTCTCTCTCTCCCTCGCTTGCATTTTCTCAGGCTTGCTTCTCTTCCTCTTCTTTCTCTCGCTCTCTTTCTCTCTATCCCTCTCTCTCCTTCCATCTCTCTATCCCTCTCTCTCCTTCCATCTCTCTATCCCTCTCTCTCCTTCCATCTCTCTATCCCTCTCTCTCCTTCCATCTCTCTCTCCCTCTATTACTCTCTGCCCTTTCTCGCTCCCCCCTCTCTCCCTCGCTCGCGTTCTCTCACGCTCTCTCTCCCTCATTCACCCCCTCCCTCTGCCTCTATTTACGTCCCCCGTCACTCCCACTCCGACGTTAGCTGGGCTATGGGGTTACTGTAGCCGCTACAGTAGTTATACCACCTCTCTTGCCAGGTATTCCTTCCTCCCCGGGTGAAACGCGGCACACGTGCGGCGAGTAGCATCCTCATTGGAATGCAGTGACGTACGGAAATTACCACGGTAAACAGAGAGTCGAGTGCGTTTAACTAACTATATACTGAGGGGGGTATGTGAGCCAGAGTGAAAGAGAGGGAAAGAAAGATAACATGAGAGAGCGAGAGAGAGAGAGAGCAAAGGAGAGAGAAAGAGAGTGTGTGGAGGTCAAAAAGGACAGACAGATGTAGACAGACAGACAGACAGACAGACAGACAGACAGACAGACAGACAGAGAG